ATTTATAAGTGAGAAAATAGCTTTTAAGAATTTAAGTAGTTTACCTAAGTTGCCTCCGCTCATTAGTGGTAAATCTGAGATATAACCTCAGCACCTCGGTAGGGCAATAGGATGCACATGGTGGGTACTGTACCCCATTCTTTCTCTGAACGTACTCCATACCACTCACCACTGGATTCTTCCCTATAATTTCAGCCTGTATATGCCCCATCCTAATCTCTCCAGCCCCATCCACGTCATGACCTTTCAACGGAATTCCCATTGCTGATAGTGTATGTCTCTGTTTCTGAGGGGGGAAAGTCTGCTTATTTCAAAGCATGTATTTGAATCAAACCATGTAGTTCATAAATTTTGGTCAGTCTATGTATTATAATTGCTCTTTAATTAACAAGATTCCTGCTCATCCTGGTTTAAGAAAAAAGATCATTTGTTAGCTTCAGGGTTGTAAAGTGTGGCCAAGAGCAGATACTCTGCCATTTTCAGATCTGGATGCTCAGAAATGATTTCAGAAATAGATCTCGCTACATCACAGCTCTGCTTTCCACTTGGTTGGCTTTATTTTTAGGCAGGAGCTCCTCTCCTGTGGGTGAGATGACAGCTGGCACCCCAAAATCAAAAATCTCACACATTACCACCTCAACAGAAAGGGAACCTCCTTTTCTCTGGAGTTCTAATAAATATCCTAGGACTGACATTTCTTGAAGAAGTTGGATCACAGGTCTATCCATGACATAATCATTATGACCAAGCAAGTGGATGGACTCATTGTCAGGGCAGAATGACTTCTTGCCTTCTGGATCCAGATGTTACTGTCAGTCCCACCCGAACTCCATGGCCTGAGAAGGGACCGTCCCCACAGGTTAATGTGGATGCTGACAGCAGAAGTGGAAGCTCCAAAGTAATTACAGAGGGACACGTTAAGAAGATCTTATGAGATTCCTGGAAAGAAATAGCCCTAGTTTGGCTTAAGGGTAGCGGTTTGAGAGGTATTTAAAAAAGTAAACTCATAGGATTTTGTAATGAATTAGACAGGACAGTGAGGGAGATTGAAATATTAGGAATAATCACGCTTACGTGACTGGTGATGTCAACACTGAACATGAGCCCATTTAGAGGGAGAGGGGAAAGAGGACTTCTCAAAGATTTAAGAAGATAGTTGGATATTCATGACTAAAGATCATGGAAGACTCCTGGCCTGGAGGTGTAAGCTGAACTGGAACGGTCCTCTGATTCAAGGGTTATCAGTGGGCAGAAGCCAGATTACAATTAGCAAAATGTGTGAAAAGTAAGAAAATAGATACAGCAAGTAGACACTGCTCCTCGTGGTGAGTTAAATACCCACACGAAGTCATTACTGTTTCCTTCCCTGAAAAGTCAAGTTTCATCTGCTTCTTCTGCACTCTGGGCTGACATTAGTAACTTGTTTGACCAGGAGAATGGAACATATGTAATATTCTGGAACTGAAAGAATTGTCGGTAATAAGCCATGTAACTTCTGCTGGAGCCTCCGGGAACATGTGCTGTGAATAAACCCAAACAGCCAGCTGAGATTATAAGCACGTTATTAACCTTAAGCCTCAGCTACCTACCTACCTTCCTTCCTTCTTTCTTTCCTTTCTTTTTTCTTTCTTTCTTTCTTTTTTTTTTTTTGACAGAGTCCCACTCTGTTCCCTGGATAGAGTACTTTGATGTCCTAGCTCACAACAACCTCAAACTCTTGGGCTCAGGCAATCTCCTTGTCTCAGCCTCCTGGGTAGCTGGGACTGCAGGTGCTCACCATGACACCTGGCTCGTTTTTCTATCTTTAATAGAGATGGGGGGGGCCTCACTCTTGCTCAGGCTTGTCTCAAACTCCTGAGCTCAGTTGACTCACTTGCCTCGGCCTCCCACAGTGCTAGGATTACAGGCACAAGCCACCTTCCCTGGCCCAGCCTCGGCTTTCTTATTTGCGTAATGATAAATACTCAGATTTGATAATTGCTGCTTTACATTATTTCCTGATTAATCTATAAAGTGAATTAGTGACATAAATGCAGCTAGAATTTGGCTGATTTCCCCCCTTACAAACGATGAGTTTAATAGAATTTTAGTATTATAATAATTTTAGCAGTCATTATTTATATTATTATAACCTAAAACATGGCTAATCAAAATTCTTCAAAAAATAAATTTGGTGGTCTGTGTTTTTTGTGACGTTGAGAGAACATCCAGTGGCAGTGTTTTCAGGGATGCTTTGCCATTCCAGCGGGGCTTTTCTGAAGTTACAAATAGCTGTGTTCTAATGCCATTCCCAGAAATATCACTTCCGCCAGTCAGAGAATTAAATTACCACTTTAATCTAGTAAGTCTTACAACCCCACAGAGAATTTCAGGAAATACCACCTGTCAGATTAAGTCTTTATTAGAATGATATCTTAAAGGAGAATTTATGGGTAAAATAGGGCCACTATTTTGTATCAGGCTTGCATCTTTCATGGAAGAAGAAATTGAGACACTCTGAGCTAAGTAGCAACTTGCATCCATGTAGCACTTGCCAATTTCCATAACTCAGGGGACTCAGTTTTCCTATGGGACTCAGTGAGCTTCTATTTCCCAGGCATGAGGAACACAAGGCTCTTGGACTCTCATTTCCTGGAACCTCTTCCCCATCAGGTTTGCAGATGAGGAAGGAAACACATACTAGTGGCACCAATAAATTTGACTGTTGGTTGGTCATGTGCTTTCAACCAGCTGAGATGATACAAACTCAGAGGCGGCCCACTTGTTCACTGTAAATTTACAGCCGACAAAAACCTACCCATACTGGAAGCTTTCGTCAGTTCCTCTCTTTTTATCTTCTTTACTATCTTGGAGGAAAGAGGATAGGGTCTTCTTTTAGAAAACCAATTTCCGAAGGCCCCTTATCCAAAAACAATTTACTTGATGACCAATGATGTGCTGTGCTGAGCTGTTTACTGAGTACCCAGTGGCCTTCCATATTAGAACGTGGGAAATGGGATTCATGGAACAAACTGGCTTGGACCACTGGTAAACTCTAACTATTCTGAATTGTTATAATATTCACCAAGAATATTAAATACACTTTATTAAGTCATTATTGTTTTGCTGAATTTTATAAATGGAAACAAAAAAGTGATAATGTGCTTAAAAATTGAACTTAAAAAGCAGACTAATATCTGAATTGCTTTTTCCTTTCTGATTCTACTAAAAAACAAACCTCCAACCTCTCCGTAGGAGTGTCCAAAGGAGAAAATGTGTGTAGCACAGTGTCCAACAAAAGCAAATAACTCTACTTAGGTTGGGAATGTATATGAATCTCCACCATGCCCTCCGGAATTCTCTTCACCTAAAATTTTCATATTCCCAAATCATGCATAGAGAAAGATCTATCTGTTTGCTGAAAGTCAGCATCCCTTGTCAGGCCACCAGGCTAACAGAGTGATGGTGCCCACAATATTTTTTAACTCAGCCTTTCTTTCTTACGGAATTTTTCCCTGATTCTCATTCCCTGAAGCCTCAGGACTGCACATGCTCAAGAAAATCACATCAGAGAACAGGGGAGACACAGAAGCATCATCTCGCTCCGGTGAAGCGTCTGTACTCTTCATTTGAATAATATATGTAACCACAAACCCTTAGCAACTTTAAACTAATATAAAAATTAGAGGATGATGTAATTATCTACTTTTGTTCTCTGTCAACAGCTACTTGACATCTTCCAGAGAGCCTTCCTTTGTACGTCTTTCCACGGTAAAGTTGTGAGAATGACCCCAGTGATTGTCCCAACCTAAGTCATTTTTTAATTTTTTCACATTCATTTTTTCTAGTAGAGATTGAGGGGTGATAAACAAGGAAAGACACATGGCAAAAATTAATACAATAAAATGTAAAAAGCTGCAAAAATGAGAGACAACACGATCTGCTTTGCTTTACTGTAATTTGTTTCAGTTTTCTCAGGCTGGCTCTCTTCATATACAAATACCAATGCCATATGTATAAATCTTCAATAATACAGTATTAGTATATGGTATTGAGATGTTTTCAGGCAGGAAGACAAGCAAATAGGACAACTGATGATCTACTGTTCTATAGGTAGCAAGAAGATGCGAACTGCACTTTTTTTTGTTTAAATATAATATTGTCCTGAATACCTTCTACTTACTCTTCACACACACACACAAAACTTGACATTATACAGTACAGTACTAGGGTAAAGGAAAACTTTAGCAGGCTCCCTGGAAGTACGTTTAAAATGGAAATACAATATTCTCACTTGTGACATCAACAGAACCTACATTGGGTCCACGAGATGGTAAATATTCAGATTTATCTGGAAAGCCAACTGTTTAAGTATTTTCACCCCAGCCTTAAAGATTTCATGTCAATAACTAGTAATTGTACTAGAAGCCACGCACCAAAATGTTTCTTGTAGTAAATAATATGTCTTTAAAAAAGTCATGCACCAAAATATTTCTTGTAGTAAGTAATTTTATTTATGGTAGAATTTCCAAAATTTCTTATATCTTGAAATTATCCACAAAGTATTATTTTGTGCTTACAGTTAAAAGATGTATGTATTTAAAAAAAAGATCAAAGTATATATGGTTAGGCAGTGTTGTTATATGTTTATTTAATACAAAACAGCTAAAGGATTAAAGAGAAAAACAAAAGTTAAATATATTTAAAATTCCCTTTAACTGATTCCCAGCTAGTCTAATGTTTTAAAGAAAAAAGTAGAAACACTGGAGATAATATTTTGATAAGCATTATTTATAAAAATATGTATATAAGTTAAGCATCATGACTACCTGCAGAAACAATATTACATAGAAGTATATTTCTAAAGCAAAGAAGAGAGATAAAGTATTCATTGCCAGGGTGACTTTTTGTCAAATACACATTCTTATAAAGTATCAAGAAAAATATTTACAAATGTACAACCGGAAACAGTTTTTTATATACAGGTTGTCCTGGTTTAGTTCTTCAGGGCCTCCTTCCTTCTGTGTAACAGGCCCTCCTGGCAGCACTGGTCTAGTTCATAGCACATGATAGATAAGCCTGGAACTCGAGGCCCCTGGAGTTGCAGGCTGTGAATCAGTACTGGCCATCGGGGAGAGAGAGGCTGGGTCCTGGAGCGGCAACCCTGGTTGCTCTGAGGAGGTGATCCGGTCCACTATGCTGGATAAGCAATCCAAGCTGGATAAGGAGCTTTTATCTGAGGCATATACTAAAGATACAAGCAGAAGAGCATTTAAAAAATTATCCCCAGATAGACAGACTTGCTTACATTGTCCCTTAAAATGTAGGTCAGATCCTTCCATACCAGTGGTCAGGTGGTCATAGAAAGCCCAATATAGAAATGTGTTGCAAATATTTTGGGGGTGGAGGTGGGGAATGGAAATATTTCAAGCAAAAGTGTGTGTGTGTGTGTGTGTGTGTGTGCATGTGTGTACGCGCGCGCCCACGCCACCGAGGGGGATTTGGAGCAGATGTGTGTTTGTTTTGTTCTGCCAAAGCTTTCCCATAAGAACCATCTCTTCCATTCCTCTTCCTAATACTACCTGGGTGAACAGACGCTGTCTGCTTTATAGGCTGAATTGTAAACTTGAACTGGTTTCTAAACTCCTCTGAAGCTATCAGTTCTTACCATTTGGTACATCAGTACAGTAGACACTGTCAAAACTGCTGCTTTTTCTGGACCAGACAGGACTGTTACATTCAGGCTGTAATGAGAGACACAAAAGACATTTGTTTTCAGGACTTGGCCAAAGATGCTCTGACCCAGGCTGAGGCAGGACTAGCCCACCAGCTTTGTACACTGACTATAGTCTCAGTGGTCATTGCCTTGATTTAGGAAAGGTTAGACCCCTCCAAATCCCCAGGGCCCAGAGGTCAATCTCTGTGCTTCAAGAAGAGGAGAGAAGCAGCAGAGGGAAGAGGGGGCGGGACTCAGCAGCAATGTGCCCTGGGTTAACCATGCAAAATGGATTGCAGTGGAAGGAAGCCACAGTAATTCAGGGAAAGAACACTTTCCCAGGGCAAAACCACATTAAAACCTGGCAGCGTTGCAGAAAACCCCCTCTGCAAAGAATGCGTCAACATCTCCTTCCAGCCAGGCCTGAGCAGAGCAGCCACTGGGGACATGTGGATATTTTTTTTTCCTCCATTTCTTCATTAAGTTATAAGCAGTGCCTTCAGAGCTTAAGGGTGTGGCAAAATCCACAGGTGGGAAATTTTGGAAATAAGCTAAGTAGTGGAGAAAACATCTGATTGATCGTCCACAGCCATCCTGCATCTCACATGCCGACACTCCATTACAGGGCAGGTCTAGAACCTGATAGAAATCAAACTAAAATCTTGGTCATCTCCAGTTTCCTGAACAAGACCTCTGTCTTAAAGCAATCCAGCAGTTCTCTTGTACTCCACTCCCCCCCCACCCCCCGCAGCATATCTGATTTAAATGAGGTGTCAGAATTTTTAGGAAAGATCAGGCTGGCCTAGCAGGTGCCAGAGCTACCGCTTACCATGCCATCGGAGCAGCTGGAGGTGGGGCTGGTGGGCTCGGAGCAGCTCTGTCCCGGCAGGCTGTAGTAGGTCTCCACCTGCTCCCTCAGCAGCTCCTGCAGGCTCTCGATGTAGCGGATGGCGTTCCTGAGGATCTCCACCTTGGGCAGCCTCTGGTTGGGGTTGGCCGTGGTGCACCTCTTGAGCGTCTCGAAGGCCTGGTTAACCTTCTTCAGGCGCCTCCGCTCGCGCATGGTGGCCGCCTTCCGCCGATCCATGGTGGTGGACTTCCTCTTGCAGGCTTTGCAGGCCCACATGAGGCAGTGTCCAGCCTGGTGGTGGCCGGTAGGAGCCCGCACGTGTTCGTCCTCGTCTGAGCCCTGCAGCTCTGCCTTGTGCGCCCCGAAGGCAGCCACTCTGGGCTCAAACTCATCCCCAAACTCACCCTCGGGGGAAGGGATGCAGGAGCCGTCGTAGAAGTACTCAGAAGGCGAAAACTGGCAGCTGTCCATCATGTCCATCCTGCCGACAGGCAGGCGGTGCACCTGGACCGCAGTGAAAGGGAAAGGGCCAGAGGAGAAACCGGAGCCTGGTGCTGCTTCAGACAAGCAAATCCCGGACGAGCTCCCTGGTGGGTTTCTCTGGTAATTAACAAGGGCAGTCGCCTGCTGCCCGGGCTGACTAGCTGGGCTTGCGGCTCTTTATATATTCTTGGGGGAGGGAGGCCGGCCCCAGTGGCCGGCACTATTAGCATATCCTACCGCAACCCCGTGGGGGCTGTCTGGGCAAACCTCCTCCTTTCCTCTAGAGACAATTTGCTGTTTAGTGCCCTGTTGACGCTAATGGTTTTACTGCATTTCTGCTGGGGCCTGGACGGTTCCCCAACCTGCTCACTTGCCCTCATAACCTAAACACAAACCTTCAAGGATGTCCCAAAACAAGCGAAAGGAAGGCAGTCCAACGTGTTTTAATTTCTTGCACATTTAAAAAAATATAGTAAATACAAATCCCCTTGAGCTGACACCCAGAACTGACCTGCCCTCCCAAGACCTTATTTTAAGGTGTTTCTCTTTTGCATGAACTTTAATTATTTAAGCTTTTTTTCCCCCCAGCCAGTGGAGTGAATAACAGTTATGAAAAACTTGAAGTGACACTTTCAATCATGGAGTGAATCTCTGAAGTTTGCCTTTAAACATCTATTTTGGATAAATTGAGATGGGTAAAACTCTGGTCAGAGTTTTTGAGGCTCTATGTTATTGAGGACAGGTGGGCCAGTTCCTTTTCTTTCGACAGGGCTGGCTCTGAATTCTTTCTATCTGTGGGGTAATCTGAAAGGAGGGGGTGTAGGTGATCTGGAGAATTCCTCCCCTCCCAGCTTCCCTCCTTCCCCCCACTACACATATTTGCTGAGAACCTCCTCCTCGGTGCCAGGCCTCCTCCCTACACCTCAGCAGGCCACCGATGTACACTGAACGCATCTCTCAGATTTGCAAGAAGAGGCCCAGTTTTAGAGGGAAAACTCCCTCTGCAGGGGCCAGTTTCCTTTCTCCTTCACTCTCTGCTCCACCCTGTCATTTCTACAGACTAAACAGCCACGCTGGGCTTGGGGATTGCTAATTTTCTGCTTTCAGGCAAACTAACACCGTTACAGATGTGTCCCAGCTGCTGGCACAGCCATCCTCAGCTCGTGTAAAATTTCCAACTCCTCAGACCTTGAATAACTTCACACACTTCGATGACAAAAGCCTTCCAGAAAAGCAGTCACAGCAGGGTCTTTGGAACTTTGATGGGTAGAAGGGAGAGAGGAGAAGGTTACCATTTGAATGAGAATGAATCTATTAATCAGCTTCTGCCAATCCTCCTCCACCCTGAACACATTTTCTGATCACTTGGGGAGGGGCTGTTTATATTTAGGAAAAGCAACTACTTGAGGTCTACACAAATACTCTAGGGTTATAAGACCTGGGCTTGTGGCCCCATTAAAAGAAGAGGAAGTGTTCTCTACTCAAGCTAGGTTTATCAAATCCACTGAATATTGTGGCTCCCAAGTTATTGGGGGAACTGAGTTTTTCTTTGTATTTTTTTTTTCTCAAAATTACTTTCCTAAAGCATCCCTGGCTCATTGAAGCAGCATCTGTAGGAGCCAGAGAAATGCCAATTTTTTCAGGGTGAGATCTTCCCTCTGCAGTGAAGGGTCCCAAACCAGGGGTAGTGTTGGACACTAAGATTTGACAGCCACACTCCTCACTGTCCCATCATTCCTAAGACAAAGCTCCTGTGTGAAAATCAAGCTCCTTCTCATGCCAATGGGCTTTTTAATCACCTGAGGGATGGGAAATCCATCTGCGCCTCTCTTAGGGCTGTTAACAAACCTATGCCTTTGAAATGAATACAGTACTCAGGTCTGCAGCAGACAAACAGTCAAGTTCCTGAAGGGCCCAGGCGGGATCTAAGACTCACCCCGCGCTGGTGGAAATATGGAGCACCCAGCACAGTGTTACCTCTGAAATCCAGTAGGTTGATATTCCCCCCCAGAAATTCTAGGGCAGATCGCACAGGTTCTGTCCGCAGCCAGACCACTTTTATTGGCTGTGGAATCTACACGTTAGCACATTTGGCAAAGCGGAAACAGAGCTGTGATTCGGACACAAACCTTATCCTGAAAGTTGAAGTGAAAGATAGAGGTTATGCTTCTGCTTGCCTTTCAACTGATTTCTGAAAGCGCTTAATGTCCTTTGTCCCCAGTCCCCTCGGAGTGCTGTATTTGTAGCTAACCATGATTGAGAGTTTTCTATTTGCTGAGCGCAGATCTCAACCCTTTCCAGGCATTAACTCAGAGACCCTATGGGAGCTATTGTTAGACTCATTTTAAAAAGAAAGTAAATGCAAGCTCCGGGGGTTAGGCAATTTGCCCCAAGGTCACACAGGTTTGGAAACCAGGCCCTGGGTCATTTAGAGCTCGGGCCTTCCGGCCCCTAGAGGTGGTTTGTTTTGTTCTAGTGTCGAGGCGGGCTGGGAGCCCTGCCTTAGCTCTGCAGCGCCGAACCCAGCACAAGCTCCGCATAGGCCTGGAGATGCTGTCACTCGGGAGGGAGCCTCTGTCAGCAGCGCGAGTTCTCAGAGGGTAGGGCCGCTCCGAAAGGTGATCTCAGAACACATTTACGGAGTGCCGCGGGCGAGTGGAACGAGAAACACCAGCGCCCAGCGGCTTAATGGGACCTGCCAGGGGGAAAGGAAGGGGTCCGGGGTTGAAAGCCCTTGGGACTCAAGTGCTGAAAGTGGGATCTCAGAGCACCAAAGTAAAAATGCCGTCAGGGGCGGGGTGGGGAGGAAGGCAGACGCGATTCGAAGCAGGTGGGCGCTTCAGGTAACTGGGGTCCCCGCACTCAGGATGGGTTCCCCGTCTCTTTTCCTCATAGACACTTGCAAGAGACCAGGGAGGGCTGGGTAGGTGAGTGCCACTGAGAAAAATAACTTTAAAAAAAATAAGGAAATTGAACAGGGCAACTCGGGGAAAGTATACAAATGGCTTTTAAAAACATCTCCATATCAATATGTTCTTTTTTATTTAAAGTCAGACTAGATTGGCTTTTGCTCCTTATAGAAAGAATGAAAATACAGTCCATTTCCACTGTAATTCCACGGGAGTACGTTTCTTACATGCAGAGAAAGCTCACATTTATAAAGTATGCAAACAGGGTGTTAGAACAAATAATTCAGCATTGACTCTCTGCTAGGAAGGTCTCACAGTGGGCAGTAGAGGGGAAAAACCTTACCATACCTGGACTCACCAGTGTTCTGGTGAAGTAGATAAATTATTTATCTACATTTTTTTTTAAATTTGCCATTCTGAACGAAATAAATATAGGTTTGATTTTCTAACGGTTTAGATTTATACACAGGTTGAAATTTCAATGGCCTTTAGACAGTATTAACGTATGTTTTTCAGCATACTTCATTTTACTTTACACTTTATAGCAAGAAATTAGTGTTGGTGGACAGACCACACCACCAAAATGATGCTCATAGCTTCCTTTCCTAGTCAATCTTGCCCATTTTACTGGGAATTCTGCATTATGGAAAATTCTCCATGCAGAAACTCAATACATATAGAAAGATAAGTCCATCTCAATTCACTTACGCCCCTACCGCAGGCCCTCATCCACTCCTGGACAAAGAGAGTTGCTGCTGATATTTTTGCTTATTATAGATGACTTCACAATATGTTAAACAATTTCAAACTGTATTAGCTCTGGGAATCAGGCCCACCTAAGTAAACACATTAGTACCTGCCAGAGCTGCTGGAAGAATTTGTGGAGAAGACAGCTGAGGAAGACATTGGCCTCTGCTTGAATAAGACTTCCAGGAGAGATCAAAGGCCTAAGTAAGAACATTTAGCAGCCTTGTGAGTAGAGAAAGTAGCTAGTTTTTACAGAATTATCTTTGTTCCAGCACATGGCATAGCCATTTCATCTCATAGACTGACTCTGAAATAGGCTTACAAAAATTTGCTTTTGAGGGGATTGGAAGCTCTAGGAAATAGTATCATCTTTTGTAAGTTTGGCTAAGTTAAGAAAATGACCAGAGGGATCTGTAGAAGAAGTGTCAACAGCTTGGGTCTTTGAGAAAATATCACGGTATTGCTAATTTGTCAGTGCGTTGGATTAAGCAATAAGATATTTATATTTCAACTAAAACTTTTTTTTAAATGTCCAGGTATGATGTTGTGGAGGAGAAGTTTTTAAATGAAATGTTACTAGAAGAAAAACACACAAAAAAATGTCTTAATAAGGATGAAGGAGGTCACTATTAGCATCCCAAGATTTATTTGAGAGTTTCAAGAATAGTTGAGAATACTAAATTTTAGCACTCCCTCCACCCCCGAAACATGAAAGAGTTTAAGCAAAAACAATGACACCATTAGATATAAGTGGATTTCCATAACGTTGGGGCTGGAGTTCAATGACCCGGGTATGATAATTAAAATTAGTTTAGAAAGCTGACATTTGAGGTTCCACACCTTATTTCTATAGTAATATAACAAAGAGAATCAGTCATTATCTTTTACTTGATAACCTTATACCTACCTAGAGAAAGAGGCTTGAATTCCTTCCCAAACCGCTTATCTTTACCAAGTTATTATGTCTTGATTTTCTGCTTCCCTAGCCCTGCTTGTTTTGGCCTTGGCCTTGGTGAAGATTATCATCATCAATATCAAACAAAAACATTTTAATTGCAAACACACCAGTGATCTCTCTGGGAAGCCTAACGTGTCAGCTGCAGCAGTTGGGGTCACATAAAGTCTTTGGGGAACAGTTGCTGTGTTTAATGAAGAGACTTCCATAGGCAAACTTATTCCAAACAATTTCTCGAGTTACACAACTAAGAGAAATAGAGACGATCTGGTTTGCAAAGACTGAATAAAATCCATCACCAAGTAAAGTCCATGAATTGATTAAAGCATTCTGCTGCTAAACAGTTTATTATACAAACCTTATTATAAATATATGTGCGGTGATAAAGTAAATGAGGACATCTCATCAATTACACTATTTTCTTTCAGTTGTGTAATTAATCTGATTTTTTTTAAGTTAGGAGCGTGTGTTAGGGCGAATTTCTATTGATTCTCAGAAAGAAAAATCATAAATGTATAATAAGCTTGATTAATGGG